CCATAATGCCCTACCCATTTGTTAGCACAAAAAAACTATAATGTAGTATTCTGTCTACCATCTTAACCATAATGCCCTACCTATTTGTTATCACAACAAAAACAATAATGTAGTATTCTGTCTACCATCTTAACCATAATGCCTTACCTATTTATTATCACAACAAAAACAATAATGTAGTATTCTGTCTCCCATCTTAACCATAATGCCCTATTTATTATCAGAACAAAAACAATAATGTAGTATTATGTCTATCATCTTAACCATAATGCCCTACCCATTTGTTATCACAACAAAAACAATAATGTAGTATTATGTCTACCATCTTAACCGTAATGCACTACCTATTTATTATCACAACAAAAACAATAATGTAGTATTCTGTCTACCATCTTAACAGTAATGCCCTACCCATTTGTTACTACATTATTGTTTTTTTTGTGCTAACAAATGGGTAGGGCATTATGGTTAAGATGGTAGACAAAATACTACATTAATGTTTTTGCTGTGATAATAAATAGGTAGGGCATTATGGTTAAGATGGTAGACAGAAAACTACATCGTTGTTTTTGTCGTGATAATAAATGGGGCATTATGGTTAAGAAAATAGATAGAATACTACATTATTGTTTTTTTTGTGCTGTAGAATAACATTCTAGTGGAATATCCTGCTTTTTGTTAAACTATATAGCATAACATTCTAGTGGAACATCCTGGTTCCTGTTAAATTATGTAAAAAAAAACATTCTAATGGAACATCCTGTTTTTTCTATACTACGTAAAATAACATTCTAGTACAACATCCTGGTTTCTGTTTTACTGTGTAACATAACATTCTAATGAACCATCATGGTTTTGGTTTAATTACGTAACATAACATCTTGGCTTAATTAGGTAATGTTCTAGCACAGAGAATGGAACGACGGTAATATTTAAATATTTTTTGCAAATACAGTAATAGGTAATATATACTATATGTTTTCTCAGTTTCATATATATGTATATATAGTTCTTCACTCAGAACATAACATCTGCCCAGAGTTTAAGGCACGCCGAATTGTGTCTTAAACTGGTGTTAGAAAAGCTGTTTCCGTTATGCCGTCCACTTCAGCAAAACGTGTCGCCAGTTAGAGACGCCAGCTGTCGGCAGGGTTCTTGATGCCTAGCCTGTCTCCGTAAAGGTTTCTCATTTAATTAACTAGGACGCATTTTAAAGATTCTTGACCCAGTCGTTCAGACTCTAAAAGCTCCTGACATTGTGACATGTAGAGGGATGAAAAACAATATTAGTTGTCAGCTTATTATCACGAAATGAGGACAACTTTTCGTGCTGGGGGTCTAAATGCTCGGAAGTGAAAGAATGACTTAGGGAAATAAACCCCTATTTTGCGAATACAAAAACGATTAATAATATTCACACAAAATAAAATATGAATATCCATTTATAAACATTGAGATTCGTAATTCACACGCTCTGAATTCGCATCTGATGTTGTAGGACGCGTTTGTAAACATGATAATAACATTACGCCAAGAGACGTTTTCCCTCGTTTTGATATTGATTATGCTACAATAATTAAGAAAGTAAACAGAAAACTCAACCATGAATTTCATTCTTTTTGACTGAGTCACTGAATGTAATACTACATAATCGTTGGTTGTTTTTGGTCATTAGATGTTGTGGTTTAAACAGTGGACAAAATATTGTTTTTGCTGTGATGATAAACAGGACATTATGGTTAAGATGGTAGACAGAATACTACATTAATGTTTTTGCTGTGATAATAAATAGGTAGGGCATTACTGTTAAGATGGTAGACAGAACACTACATTATTGTTTTTTTGTGCTAACAAATGGGTTGGGCATTACGGTTATGATGGTAGACAGAATACTACATTATTGTTTTTGTTGTGATAGGATAATAAATAGGT